GGTCTAACTACAATAAAATAATGAGAAAAAATGGCCCAAATTGTACAACAGAATAAATTTCTTCTGTGTTGTAAACAAACGTTTAAAAAATGTTTTCTTTATCAGGGCCTGGTTTCTTCTACCATCAACTAGTGGGCCCGGTGGGTCTGACCCAAGGGTTAAAAATGACAGTAATTAATACGTATATGTACTGTGTGACCGATTTTTTTTTGAAGGGTCGGGCCAGATTGTTATTGAAATTATTAATTACATTTTACATAAAAAAGTCGATAAATGAACAGAGACTCTGGGATCATGACTTCAACCTAGGCTAGCGATCTACCACTGAGTTATCGAAGAGTACAAACCATCTCCGTCATGGTTAACTAATAAAGTTTCTAATCATGAGTATGAACACCGCACTACGTTACATTTAGGCATATCCGACCAAGTCTATCACAGACTCACATTTATTTTTTAATTCCACTTTTCTCTTATCAGCCTTTTCATATAATTTTTTTAATGGAATTTGAAATTATTAAAGAATATATTTTACCACAGTTACAAACGCACAGACACACACAAAAGTTACTGAATAAAAAATTACACTTATAATTCTGCTTTAGAGAAGTAGCTAAAAACGTAAAAAAGTACATCTGCAAACCAGAATATCTATTTATACCTTCCAAATTTTAAACCAGAAAAAACTGTCATCTAAAAGATTTTTAATTTAGCTGTTAAACTTGTTCCTTTTTGTTTAATCCATAATATTGTAACTTTAATCCTATATTATTTTTATATCTAGTTATTGGTTTTGTTTTTCGTTGTCATTATAACGAACTATTAGACTCGTTCACACGGACTTGCACGATAAGAAGATTGCTTTGTTATTTTCAAAAGTTTTTGGAAATAAATGATTTTGTAAATAATAGATAAAAGAGTTAGACAGACTAGAAATAAAATATCAAACTCTTAGGTTCGACATCGCACCATTTTTTTCTCAACTTTACAAGTTTGTTGTCACTGTTTTAAACTAATGAATATTTACTGAAAGGGAAAAAACAGACTAATAAGCATTTAAGACCCACATAACAATGGATATATATTTTTTTTTTACTTTTTAATCATGGATATTTGTGAACCTGGATTTAGGTAACATTAAGATGTTTGAACTTGTACATATTGTACTGTAACACAGAATAAATTTAATTACTGATATTTCTAGTGTTTTGTTCTGTCATATATAAATGGAGCACATGTAAAATATAGAAATAATACAATTCTAAAGAAAAAACAATGAAAAATATGTGATTATATAGTTTACTGCTAGACAACCTCCTTATGGTTCACCTTAGAAGCATTTGGCATGAAATGTTGACAAGTTTCTTAACATGTTATCTTATAATCGCTGCTAATAATGACATTTGTTTAAACTGGACATGTGAGGTTTGTTCATGAGATATCGTATTTCAAGTTTAAGACGGAGAAATATTTTCCAATTTGTTTTCTTGTTCAATATCAAAATGCTGGTAGCTTACAAAAACTTTACATATTGAAGTGGGTAAATGTGTTATGTAATTTCCACGTTATCTAGGGGCTGCCATAAAGTGCTGGCACTGTAATTCGATATACGACCCGTACTGTAATGATCCTTTCGACAATTCGACCTTGGCATTGATAGACTGCAACAAGATATTCTTGCCTCATCTCCCTAACACAACAGCATCATTGTGCAGGAAAGTTATTCAGAAAGGTAAGTTTTGAAGCTAGGTTACTTGTCTCTCAACACTCCAGCCAGGCTGTGCTGGAAAATCCTCCAAAAAAGTAAGTTTTGGAGATAGATTACTGGTATTCCAGCCAGGCTGTACAGGAAAGTCGTTTAGAAAGGTAGGTTTTTGAAATTGACTACTTGTACTCCAACATCACAACCAGGCTGTGCGAGAAAGTCCTCCATAAAAATAAGTTTTGTAGCTAGATTACTGGTACGTACATTCCAGCCATGCTGTGCAAATTGTAAGGAAGTCCTCCAGAAAGGCACGTCTTGGAGCTAGATTAGTGGTACTTCAAACTATAACTACACTGTGCAGGGAAGTCATTTAGAAATGTAAGTCTTGGACTTAGATTACTTGGTATTATAACACTCCAGCCACACTGTGCAGGGAAGTCATTTAAAAAGGTAAGTCTTGGATTTAGATTACCTGGTATCATAACACTCCAGCCACACTGTGCAGGGAAGTCATCCAGAAAGAACTTAATTTATACCACAGAATCACCTTTTATGTTCAATGAGATAATTTAAAATCAAGTTGATAGAGTTAATACGGGATCTAAGATTGCACCTGCTATGGCCAATATATTTTTTAGTTTCGAAGAAGAGGAACTATTGAAAGAATTTAAAATCACTTTGCTATAGAAGATACTTATAAAGTCATGTTGGTGAGTTTTAAAAATATTTGAATAATGATCATCCACACTTAAAATTATAGTGGAATTTACTTTATCTTTTAAGATATATATACTTTAGTATATAATCAACAAGATAAGTAACCGACTTTCTGCAGAATTTAAGCTCATTTTAAAAGTGTTGTTTTTAAAGCGCCTTTATATAATTTAGTTAAAGTATTGATTTATTATAAGGAGACATTCTTCGTTACATGATGAAATAGTTCACTCTGAACAGTTTTGAAATGTAAAGCATTTCATAGTACTTTCATTGATATTGAAATGATAACTCATAACTGCACTGAATAACCCAAAGTTTTGAAGCTTGATGTGTTAAAACTTAACTATAATAGTATTATATTTCAGAAAAAAGTTACAGTGTGTGTGTGAAAAAGTTGTTGTTGCTTAGAATTTTCACGCGAAGTTATATACAAGGGCTATCTGGAAATAACATCCTTAATTTTGAATGAGTAGTCTGGAGGAAAAACAGCTGTTCAACCATGCCCGCTTCCAGCTTTAGGGTTACTTTTGACTAACCGAATAGTGGGACTTGGTCCTTGACCTTGTAGCGCATCACAACCCCAAAGTAAGGACCGCATTTTTTGTGACAACAAAATGCGAGCCGTGAATCTCCGGATTCTCAGTTCTACCTCTTTCACTTTCTAACTCAGACAATGTTGGTGAAGTATTAGAAACCTACTAGAGATTCATGAGAAGCTATATAGGTGAAGTGTAAGTTTGAATTATATGAGTAACCACTTCTACACTGTTGGCTATTACAGTTTCCCAAGCTGAAAATGTTTACTCTACCGATTACCACTCTTGATAAACTGTGATGATGACGTGAATGATAATATTTCTGATAGATGGGCATCAACTATCATGTTCCTTTTGAAGTCTTGCAGACCCTTACCTTTGTTCATTGTTTTATAAACTAATTGTAATATGATTGCATTTATAAGCTTAAAGTTTAAACAATAACCTGATATGCCACGTGATCAGTCTTCTTTGTATATACAAGTATTTTGATGGTTTTTCGCGTGTGTGCAAGAGGTGTTAACAAAATGATCAGGCAGTGTTTTTTTAGTTATATCAACGAATAAAAAAAGCCGCAAAAACCATTCACATTTTTATCAATGCACAGGTGAACTGCAAGTGGTTGCCATGCCTTAAGTTAAGAAAGTGAGACGTCACAGGAACACTATTTACAATAAAATATCTTGTCATTAATGCAGTATAGTCTCGATGTTATCTGCTACCCGTCGACAGGTTTTTAAGTGTCACCTCTATGTTGCGTTCTTTTAATAAGCTGTGGTCTTGAGCAACGTTAGTTCATTCACAGATATTATGAACACCAATGTTATATTCATTTTTATGCAGAGCTTGTCTATTTCCTTCAGGACTATTCTATGATGTATTGCCTGAAACAGAAGCTATTGTGTCATGAAGTCTGCCTGCCAGTTCTTTTCTATAACCATACTTTGGGTCTTTATTGAACATGTCGCATTTATTTTAAGCTCCATGTATATCATTATCTAGTATGATACCACCTGAAAGAACTGATATCTTAAATTGCCTTCAATACACATACCTGTGTATTCTTGAAACACGATATCTAGTTCAACAACTACAGTAATTAAGGCTTGAAATACTAGCTACATTGAAAAACCTTCTCACAAAATATATTGTTGCGTCAGCGGAGATCACATGACTAATATCACGCCACGTCCTTCTCGAACATTCACGTCCCTTCCTTAAATCTCGGGATCCTTCTAGATATAGTGTAGTCTTGTATATATAAGACGGTCACAAAGTGACGGCAAAAATATGTGTAATTGAACTGAGTATTGTTGAGTCGAGCACGTGAGAAGTTCGTTGAGAATTATAGCGTTTGTTATAGCGCGACTGTTGAAATTAAGTGTATCGCAAAGTTGTATTCAGGAAGAATAAACCTGTTTTATTTAAGAAAGGACTTGTATCGGTAAAGTTTCTTCGGAAAGAATTTTTACGGAAAATTAACTAACGGACGGAGACGTAACAATATAACATACTGAACAAAACAATCTATAGACAGGCCTTCTACTCTAGAAACAATTTGGGTACAGTGTTGTGTAACTTAAGGACAAAATCGAAAAGTACACCCACCGTACATAGTTTAAGACTAGACGTTCTATACAAACAAGACATAAAGAACATTCAAGATAATGGAAATTGGTGAAAGTAGACTCAACTTCTACATTCCATGTTATGAAAATTAAACATCAATTCACCGGTAAAAAAGAAAAAAGAAACTGAAAATGTTTACATGTGTGTGAAAAATGTTAACAATTAACTAGCCTGGAAACCTTCGAAATAAGTAGAAGTCTAAGAACGAATACGTACAAAGCTCTCTAAACGACCAAATAAAAAAAAAAAAGGGTCTCCCCACTTCCCCCAGGGTAAGTGTCAAGGTTTCCAACTGGTTCTTGGGTTTAACATGTATATGTATATACATGATTCAAAGCTAGTTACCTGATGATGAAGGCTTTACTAGCGAAACCATGGTAGTAATAAATTAAATATTTGTGAAACTGTACAATCATCTTTGTTTTCTTCAATTCTGTAACTACCAGTAAATGAAATAAAGTTTCGTTTTCTTCTATGCTTCTTACTGACAAACTGGGCTCAAATATATTTGTAATGTTTCTCATAGTGTAAGAATGCATTGCTCTTAAGGCAAATTGCCTATACCCTGCTAAATATATTATTGAGGCATCTTTAAGCAATAGTATAGGTTTAAAACAAAGATGCTATTTAATGATGCTTGCGGCCTTGAGTTGAATTTTATTAATTTGGTTCTGTCCAAGGTTAAGGTTACTGGCTTGTCTTAAAAACTTTCCGTGTGTTAGAAGTCTCACGATCTGGTCTCAAGTTGGCGGATGCAGGGTGGCATTTGACCCGGGAATATTTATTTTGGACAGAATAGTCCCCCAAAGTCAATGTTTCGATATGTGCATAGAGTATACTATTTTACTGAACTAATAGTTGTTGTATCATTGAGGTTCAAACTGTCAAAAGTCTTGATATTAGATAAACTAGTGTTCTCTTCTGAGTTCTGACAAGAAAACTTGTCAACGCCTAGGTGATCCCTGAACTTGGAATTCTCTTAAGGACACAGGAGGTCAGCAAGCTGTTTAGATTAAAATGCTCTTGGGAAGTGTTGAAATTATGAAAGCTTTTTATTAAGCAACATTCGATTATTATTCTTTTTATATAATTATCCATTTTATATAAAATTTTTGTTGGTTTCAAATCAAGTTGATGACCAGAATCTCTCATATGAAGAAAGAATTATATTGTTTCTGTTTCCATATTTAATGTGTCAACACTTCTGGTTTCACCTTCATAATCTTTCTCACATTATTGGACTCCGTGGTACAATATTTTGGCAAGTTATATACTTTTTGTTTTTTTATTGTTATAATGTTGTAGAGGAAGCTGTTGTTTGTTAGCTAGAGGTAGCTGCGGATCGTTGATGATAAAGTTTAAGTTGAAAAAGTTAAGATGGGTCTAAAAAAACTCTAAACAAAAGGGTATGATTTCTTGTTCTAAGGATGTGACGTAAAGTTCGAGAACACGCAAACGTAGAAATAAATTGAATTGCTTTCATTTAAGTGAACTGTATACATGGACGCCCACAGAAATATTTTCGGGTAGGAGGAAATATATATGTAGGGGATCAGCTTTTACAGTGTAATTCAACAGACTAAAAGAATATGGTGTTAAGTTGGCTTAAACGCAAACACAAATTTATAGTTTCAGTAAAAATTATTAAAAAGATCTAGTTTAACTATGATATTAAGTTTACCGCATAATACGTGCAATTATTTTGTGAAGTATACCCCCCTCTTGCCCCTTCCTGCGGGCGTCCATGACTGGATATTAACTTATTTTCACCCGATAATTTGAAATAACATGCTAAGAAATAACCATATGACAACAATATAAATGTTTTGTTTTTTATCTTCATGAGTAGTCATATTTGAAATCAAGTTACTTTTAATGGTGTTCGGGGATTTGTCAACATAACATGAATTGTGTGCGGATTATAATTTTTTATTTATCTATGTTATGACTAAAATAAGTTAAGGAACCCCGACATACAACTATATCAGTGGTCTCTGTGAACAAAGAGAGAAAGAATATCATACAACTATATCAGTGGTCTCTGTGAGCAAAGAGAGAAATATTTTCTCCCCCAATTTAGTTCTATATACATATAGTAAATGTAATGTATATAACAAGAAAACAGGTTCGCACGCGCACTACCGTTTTACAGGATGTTTGTTTTTCTTATATGCTAGAAGTCAACCAGATATATCCTATAATAATAGGTATTCCCTTTAACCCTACTTTTATATACTAATGGTGCTACTGAACTAACTAATTATTTATTTAATTAAACAATGCTCGAAAGAACGCAGAATAATAACATGCAAAAACCAAAATATGTCCCATAACTATTACAATTTTTCTGGTTTCCTAACTATGCCACAAACGTCGTTCGAAATTAAGCAAAGTTGGTCGATATTTTTCTCGTGGTAACAAAAGTTTGTTTGTATTAAAGTCGAAGAGAGGATTGTTCCGTTGATGTCATGATAAGTTCATGCTTTTGACCGTTATTCATCAATCCACTTTTAAAGGAAGTTGTTATCCACCCTAAAAAAGGCTAGATACGCTAGAATGGTTAAAAACCTTTTGATCTTTTCCAAGGTCTGTGAGTATTTGGGGGCTTCAAAACTCAATACAAAGTGCTTGTGTGAAACCCAACGGTGGTTGAATGTAACTTAGCACGCTAAAATTTGGGGGGAATAACGAGTCCCTTTAAAAGTACACGTGAGTATAAGATGTCCCGTCTCTTTTGTGACTGTGGTATGAAATAGTTTTATGTTTACTTAATTTTAATTTTTGCTTATCAGCTTTCCGTAATTCATAGTATTGTGAGTATTTTATCTGTTTTGCACTTTTTCAAGTATTACAGTATTCTTAATTTATTGAAAAAGTAAATATTTTAAACTTAAAAAATCCTTTTTTTTGTAGCATGTGAAAATTTCAAACATTTCTTGCAACATACTGTTTCATGTGTGTTATTGTGATATTACTTTTCTAAGGTGATATATTGCTAGATTTAGGATATTAATATTCAGACTTATTGTTTTTCCTGATGGATATTAGATTGAAAGAGCTGAATACGCCGATTTAATGCAAAATAAAATTTCCATACCGCACTTCAAATGATAAAAACGTTGGGAATAAAAATATCAATTTATTTTGACTTATTACATAACAGCTTCGCTAATGTATTTTTTTTTTACGTGTATATTTTAACTTTTTTTTTATTCTGCCAGTGAACAACGATTATCGATACATTCGAGACTGCGGCTGGTTGACAGATGAATATCGTATGATGGATTGCACCGAAAGAGCAGGAATTAATCAAAATCTCATCCAGTACTGTAACTGTAATACAAATGGCTGTAACAAAGCTTCTTTTATCCAGCTCAGTGTTATAGCTCTGGGCGCCTCTGTTATTGCTTCCATAACTCGTTACATAATTCCCTAGTAAATATTTTCAGGTCTTTATACTGTATCCGGTGAGTTCCATTGTTTGACACATAATGGTCGAAAGAAAATGAAAGGTCAAAAGATTTGGAAAATATTAAAAGCTAGATTAATATCATGTTGCATGTTTTTTAATTGTTTGTGTACTTTCTTATGCAAATTATATTGTAATAAATCTCTGAAATTCTGAATTTACAGTAATAAAGATGGCTCCTTGGCCACATAATCTTTTTCATCTATACCCCATTTACAAGACAATTTTATTTTTAAATGACTATGTAAGGGTAAACATTGTGAAATGTTTCAACGATTTACAGTATGTTTAAAACATCTAGTTTAATCTGACGTATATGTAAAAGTAATACTTATACAGGCCCGTACGCAGAATGTTTGAAAGGGGTGTTCTGATTTGTGAGATTAAAAGCCAACACATGTTGTGCGAAATACAATCAGCATGCTAAAAAACGTAAACAAATTTGTAGAAAACGTTAAATATCATAAGTAGCTGCGCTATAAACATATAAGAATATATTTTTCACATCACAAAAATAGTTTTTTCGGGCGACCCCCTTCCCCTCCTGCGTACGAGCGTGTTATATCAGGGATGAAGGAAACAATTTTGGATTGGTCAGACAACTCAGAATAATGTACAAATTATGCCAGTGCTGGGGAGTTTGAGGGTATGCCCCCAGGAAAGTTTTGAAAAATAAGTGCTCTGAGATTGAATTTTGTGCTAATTTTACAATAATTTATTGAAAGTATTAATCATTTGCAAGCACTTCTTTATGATTCACAAAAATTGGTACTCACTGGCACTTATACTCACCATGTACACTTACAGACTACACATGTAATTTATTATGCATTGTTAAAGTGATTCATACATACTACTATAAGTATATCTGTTTACCTAGAAACAATTTTTTTGAAGTGCAAGTTAAAGTTCAAAAAACCTAACACTTACTGTGACAAAATGTTGATCCGGCTGCTGCTCGATCTGCCGGACCTACTCTGGCGCATATGTTTATGTGATGTTGTCGATAAGTTCAAATGATACATCATCAGTTTATTCGTTGTTATAAAAATTGAAATCAATACTTCACGGATTTTACTATACAAGCTTTTCTCGTATTTAACGACAGACACATTTCCTAAACCTTAGATTCTTAATTGTCAGCAACATGAGCTGTTAGCAAGAAATCCTAAAAGAAAAACCTCTTTTTTTTTTAATTACATATTCAATATTCTTTTTCAATACTTACAACATTACAATAAATGATCGCCTAAAACAAAATACAACATTCCACTAAAGACAAAATCTCGAAAAATCACCTTGTCTCTCTAATGGCAACCAAATATGTCATGTGATTTGGTATCTACTGTCTTTCAAAAACAGTTCACCAAGGGCTGTCCCTAAAACAGTGTTACGTCTCCGTTTGTTAATTAACTTTCCGTAACTTCGTTTCCGACGAAACTTTAGCGACACAAATCCTTAGGGGAATGTAATGTAATGTGTGTGTAGACAGTGAGTAATTGATCTGCAGTCAGAAGTATTATTGAGCACGTTCGTTGTTATAGCGTTTGTTTAGCGCGATTGTTGAAGTTGAGTGTATCGGTAAAGTTATATTCGGAAAGAATAAACCAGTTTTATTAAGTGTCCCGTTGTCACCCTCTTTTATATACCCGACTACCCTATATCTAGTAAATACTAGAGCATTCGCCAAAGTACAGGATAGTTCTAGAAACTAGAGGACGCCACACCAGTCACGTGACCTCGATGACGCAACAACAGGAAATGAGTCAACTACCAATCCTCTAAATCACTTTACAGATTTTTTTTTTAACTTTTAACAAGCTCTGATGCTCTTAACGACAATTATGTGTAGAAAACATAAGAAGGACAGTAGCCCACTAACAAAAAAGGGCTCTTTTCAAGTATCGTAAGGTAGGCGTGTTTGCCTTATTTCTTTTTTTTTGAGGAGTTGTTAGAGGAGACAGTGTGAACTGGAGGTTGCTTCAGGTGAACATAGGTCAAACTATAGAAGCAAACAGATCCTCTTTTATTCTTATTCAATTGGTTTTATAAATATTTTTCGATACCCGTGGTGGGCAGAGCACAGATAGCCCATTGTGTAGCTTTGTGTTTAATTACAAACAATCGTTTCCTTAATGTTGAATCTAGTTATTCACTAAAAGCTTGGAATACAAATCGCCCACCAATGGCACTGCGGTATGTCTCTGGACTTAAAACGCTAGAAACCGGGTTTCGATACCCGTGGTGGGCAGAGCACAGATAGCCCAGTGTGTAGCTTTGTGCTTAATTACAAGCAAATGTAATACAAATCATTATTTTGTACAATTTTTTCTCCTCTTGGTAACAAAAGCTTCTCATATTTGTTGAAATAAATCAGAGACAACAGTGGAAAAAATAGTAATTGCATATTTTCAGTTACTTGATTGATTAGCGGTAAAACTGTACAAATAAGTTTATTTGCATGTTAGTTATAGTACCATTAGCGAAGTATTTCCATTTCAACAGCTTCCCGGTAGGACAGTGGTAAATTTACAGAATTATAATGCTCAAATCCGGGGTTTGATTCCCCTTCGTGGACTCAACAGATAGCCCAATCGGACTTTGCTCAGAAAAACAAACCATTTGAATATCATTTGTAAACTTAAGCTTACAAATTAGAACAGCGAACAAATGAAGGCAGGCTGTAGCGTTAAGGAAGAAATTAAATCTATTATCGTTACATGGACAGGATTTCGAATTATTTTCACCAAATAATTTAAAAGAACCCACCCAACAAAAGAACGTAACAACATTAGTGTCAGAAGTGGGAATATTTGGGTTCAAACAAAATATTACATCAGTCAACTTCAACAATTTAACATGACGACTAGATCCAAAAGCGAGATCCAAGTGTTATCGGAGATGATAAAATTATTAAAAGAAGCTAAAAAAGGAATAAAACAGAAAATTAAAAGAACAATAAAAAAGAGATAGAAAATAAAAGAAGACCAAGAAGAAATTTATAAAAAATTGAAAGATGATAAAAAACTAAGAGATGAATTAAAAGAAAGAGATGTACTATTAAAAAGTATAAAATCAGAAATAAATTTCATTGAAGATAAGATTGAAGAAAAGTTGTAATGACAAAACTATAGTAGTAAAAAATACATCAACAAAGGCTGTGAGGATAAAATTGAAGACGTACAAGAAGACAAAAATAAAGTAAAGAAAGACATAATGAGGTAGAAAAGAAAATCAGTGACAAAATAAAACATCTGGAAAATTGATTATTAAATGGAAATATTAAACCAGTCACAGCTCTTTCTTGATTGGCTCAAGAATTCAAACCTAAAACGTTCTATAAAATATGTAATAGGAAAACGTATTTGGTCTATACTTATCACCAATACCGTTGTGCCATCCAGAATTATACTGGATACTCCAACCATTACACCATTAAGTCAAGTTCTAGAAGTTAGATGGCCAGTCAAGAAATAAGTAAGATATGACGGGAAGGTACCATGGGAATTATATCAAACTTAGTTCATAATAAATTTCAGGGTGAATGGGTGGAATAATGAGCAACAAGCTATTCATATTGTTACCAATTTAAAAGGTCAGCTTTGATGGCATTAAGTAACCTTCCAGCTAAGAACCTTAACAATTATCTAACATTGGTAGCTGATTTACTCAACAGGTTTAGAGTGACACACCAGAAGGAAGTATCCTCAACAAAGTTCTGGAACAAGGAATGGAGGAAGGAAGAGATTTTAACCAAACTTATAGAAGATTTGAAAAGGCTTCCCCAATTATCTTACTCGGATGATCGCCGTAAAATGATGGATTTATTGGCATGCAACCAGTTTATAAGTTCCACAACAAAAGAGGATATGAGAATTAAACTGAAGCATCTTTAAAGGAAGCTCTGCAGTTGATGATGGAACTAGACTCTATTAAAGTTGCAAACAAATACCTAAAGACACCATTTCAAAGTTACGGGATCATCACATTGGATAGTTTTAAAACATCAACTTCAACTGACGATAGTCTAGAACAGGGATGGGCAAAATACGGACCACGAGCCGGATCCTGCCCATGTAACATTTCTGTCCTGCCCGCCATGACTCCCAGCAATTGTGGAAATAACATAATTAGGTCTTTATACAATCGACGTTGAGGTAATTTAATTAGTATAGTAGAAATGTGCAGTCCGCGACAACTTATCAAAATTTGTGGAGTGGCCCTCCTACGAAAATTATTGCCACACTTGGTCTAAGAGAACTAAAAGAAGAACAGCCAGGTATATAAAATGAAGGAAACTGGAGACAGTATGGGTTTTATGGGTAACTTGAAAGAACATATTACCAGGAACTGTAGTCAAAAGTTTGTAGGGGATAAGAACTCCTCCCAAAGAATACCAGAAAAGGGTAACTGTTATAAATGGAGAAAACTTAGCCATTACAGTCGATAGTGTGAGGAATCAACAGCTGATAATTCACCAAGAAGACTATGCCCTGATGATGAGTCTATGAGCAAACCAGATAAAAGGATCAATAAAAAGCTAATCAGACATCAGGAAACTGGAATTAGCTGGACCTTTAAAGTAAGGTTCAGCTGAGGATACCACATCTGCCACAAATGAGAAAAGAAGCTCATTATGTAAAGAAACCAGTTCACGTGTCCATTGGTTTATTTATGGTAAGTCTTGTGTTTGCAGAACGGCAGTTACAATAGTTCAACTATATTTGGCAATGAAAGATGGAAAATTGCCTCCATGTTTGAAGAAAGAAGAGGGAGTAATGCAAACAGCAAGTGGGCATAAAGTTCCAGCAAGAGGAAAGTTAGAATTTATTCTTACTATAGGAATCTTCTCTACACATCATGGCTTATGGGTAATTAACATTGAAGAGGAGTGTGTATAGGGAACTGACTTCACGCAGAGACATTGGTGTGATGTTAGGCCAGTTTCAAATAGCTTCACTCTCTATGACCAGAAACTCTCTGTGCACACTACATGACAGTTACGGCACCAGAGGTTGAACTTCCCGTGACAACAAAGAGAGCACTCATTGTACCACAAAGAAGTGAAATATTCATACCAGAAT